GTTTGTAATGTTACCTGTAATTCTTACCTCAAATCAATTTTTTTCTGACTGCTGGCTAATGATTAAAAAGTAAATTTTAAAAAATGAAAATTTACTAAATTGAAATCATATTTCAACAGTTGATCAACTAATACAAAATAATGCCTGTGGTTGAACTAAAAAAAAAAAGCAAAAAAATAATTAAGTTTGTAAACAAAATAAAACAACTAAAAAATTAAAAGAATATAATCCTTCTAATTAAGAAATCGTATAAGCATAAAATTAGCTTATTTTTATTTACACAATTTTTTTAAATTATATATGACATTACCAATTAAAGATTCTTAACATTTAACAAAAATGTAAAAAAAAATTAAGTTATATCTTAAAAAATTTAAAAATATCATTTTTTATAGGATTATGGTTTCATGGCTTTAATTAGGATTTAAGGTGATTAGGAACTTTAATAAGCTTTATTAAGGAATTAATAAGGATTATTCAAAATATAGATTATTGCTAAAATATCTTTAAAAAAATTAAAAAAAAAAATTGTTAAAAACTAAGATAAAAACTAACAATATAAAAAAAAAATTAGATACTAAAATTATATACAATCTTATTCGCTGATTAAAATCAGCGAATAAGATTGCGCTTTTGAGTGGCAATTCTGTTTTTAAGATTAGACAACTAAAATGTTTACCATTTTGTCCACCTACTGGCCCACTGTGCATTGAAACCGCAATCCTCGATTTTGTAAACAGTGCAAAAATGGTTCTTAATTTATTATTACATGAGGAGTTAGTAGTTTTGTCCAATAAAATTGAATTCTGGCCCGAGAGGACGAATAAGCGCGAACTGTGCAAAGTGTTGCAAAAACTGACGTAAGTATATATATATATATATATATATATATATATATATATATATATATATATATATATATATATATATATATATATATATATATATATATATATATATATATATATATATATATATATATATATATGGAGTGTCTATTTGCACGTTTTATACGTGCAAATAGACTATATTTAATTAGTCTATTCGCACATTTAATTAAAGAAAACATCGAATTTAAAGGAAATTTAAAAAAATTAGATTTATTATTATTGGTTTTTAAAATTAAACTAATGCAGTGGAGTACTAACGCAGTACTTACATTGACTGATTACTATTTATAACAGATGGATTTAACTTTTTATTAATAAATAATTTAATTTCATTGTCAATTATTTTTGGTAGTTTTTTATGTCTTTATCAAATTCAAGCCATGTATTATTGATTTTATATTTTCTATCAATCAATTTAAGTATAAGACTAATTTTATAACAATAAGGAACAAAGCTGGAAAATTTTTATAAAAGACCCGTAAATGTTTTTTTGTTATAAACTTTGTTGATAAAAAGTTAAATCCATCTGTTATAAATAGTATTGATAACCCTAATATAAGATATTATAAACTTCCATTTATAGGATTTTAATCAAATTTTATATGTCTATAATAAAATCATTAAAATATATTGCAAAGATATCATAATTTTATTTTCACTACTAACAAATTACAAAACAGTTTATGTATAAAAAACCCACTTTCTAAGCTGCTCAAATCCAATGTTGTTTATAAATTTTCTTGTGCTGGATGTAATGCCAGTTATATTGGAGAAACCTCCTGACACTTAACAACAATGATTTATGCATCTTACAAGTGACAAACAGTTAATGTTTACAAACATTTAATTTCATCTGTTAAATGTAAAAATGTAACTATGATTGTTTTAAAACTTTGGAAACTGCTCCTAACAAAAACAAATTGAAAATTAGAGAAGCACTCTATATTAAATGGGAAAACCCATCTTTAAATAAACAAACTATTCATTATAGTATAAATTTGTTAATCTAGTTTGTTTTATTTACTTATTGTTTTTAAGCTATTTACGGTACCATAATTTGTATTGGTTTGAAATAATTCTATTATTCTGTTAATATTTCTTTATGTCTTCAAATTTTGATTTTATATTTATATCCAGAGTTTTAAATTATAATTTTAACTTTTGAAAATGTAGCATGTCCAGATTAAAAAATATTGTGTATTTCTTAAAATATGTTCACATTTATTGGTATTATGTTGCTTAAGATATATATAGATATACATACATACATACATACATAAACACACACACACACACACACACACACACACACACACACACACACACACACACACACACACACCATTAGGGTGTCTACTATACAAAAAATCTTTAAAACCACTCAAATTGAATTTTTTCCCATTCTAGTGTTTGCGTACAATATAAATTTTACCAAATATTAATAACTATTATAGAGCTCCCTTTGAAAATTGAAAGCTCCCTATTGTTAATAAATTTTATTATTTTTATTATTTTTTAAAAGTATGCTTTGTTGGTTTTTGAATATAGCGAAATCATTTTAAAATTTCAAAAATAGTAACAATTTTATAAAAAAAAGCGAAAAAAATGATCAAAAAACCTTGCAGAATAAATAATGAATTTTAAAGAATTTTTGTAAGAAATAAAGAAAATCATAAATATATAAATGTTAAACTTCAACAAGGCAAAATAATCAAAATAAGTTTCTAATTATATTTTTTAAACTTTTCGATTCATCGTAAAACTAAATAATTTAAAATTCAAATAGCTTATAAATATTTCGCTGCAATTTTCTTTTGAAATATTTTGAATTTTTTTTGAGCTTTATTAAATTCTCAATGTATTTTAATGTGCAATGTAAAAACAGTTATGTTTATGTCAAAAGTTATAATTATTTTTTTCAAAAGGTTAGATAAAGAACAGACAAATAATTTGCACGTGCCTCCACCCTTCCACTTTTTTTCTAAAGGACTTTTTTTTTTTTTTTCCCTTAAAGAAAATTCTAGATATAGAGAATTTTTTAAGAAATTGACGATTGTGCCCCACTACTTCTAAACATGTGTCTTCAGCCCTGTTTGTATAAAAGTCTTGCTAAAGTTATACAAATAAAATATCCAAAAAAATAGACTGAGAGTATACAAGAAAGATTTTAGTATGTAACAATCTAAAGTTAGAATTTTAAATAAAAACTAAATATATCCAGGACTTTCCAGACTTTTCTTCACTGGAATGTAATGGAATATATGTATGCATATATATATATATATATATATATATATATATATATATATATATATATATATATATATATATATATATATATATATATATATATATATACATATACATATATATCTGTGTGTGTTTATGCATGCGTGTGTTTGTGTGTGTAGCTGAAGTTTTAAAATTACAAAAATTCCATCAATAGATGTAACTAGATTGAATGAAAGATTTTTTTGATTAAGTCAACTGATATGGTTTTGGTATCGTAATAAACATATTTTACCTTAGTTGGGGTGAATGCTTTTGATCTAATGTGTTCTACCTATGACCTGTGTGTAAATTTGATCGGTAACACTTATTTTTAATTTTAAACCTTTTCTAAATTTCAAATATTAGTAAATAATTTTTTTTTTTAAATACTATGAGCTTCATGCTAAATAAAAAATAAATCAACTGAAATAAAAATATCAGTGGCATCAAGAAAGAGCTTTTGATTGACAGAAAAAATTTCATAACAGTTACAATCAAAACATAGTTAAAACACTATATAAAAATAATAGCTTCATTTCATTATCTAATTTGTTAATTATTATCCAACTTGTTTCTCCGTGCAGGGCCTTGTTCGTCAAGGTTCGTATTTCGGAGTTATAGAGTTGAGAAAGGGTTATAACCACTATCAAGTAGCCTCCTCGTCTGTAGTGGCCTTCTCGGCCTTGAGGAGGTGAATAACAAAAAAAATAATAAAAAAAAAAAATTCCACTGCTATTTATCCAAACTCCGGATACACATTTGGTATCTATATTTAAAAAGTATACAAATCTATATTTGTAGAAAACTTTATATTTGAAGTTGTACGAAAAAACTTTTTCATCAATTTCAAGACCAAACGAAGACCTTCTAAAAATAGAAAAAAAAAAAAATTTAGAAATAAAATTCAAAAAAATAAAAAATAAAACAATTAAATTATCTTATTAATTACTATAAGCAATCCTAATAAATATATCAAATATTTATATTTACAGTTATTACATATATTATTTACATTTCACTCTTTTAAATAAAAATAAAATTTTCTCTTTAATAAAAAAAATAATCTTAAAATGATCAAAATTGATTGTCAAGTCAACGATGAAGAATTTTTTTAAAATATATATATTTATATTTTTTAGAGTCTTCATATGCAACAAGTCTGTTTCTTTTAATAACTTTATTTCAATAGACAAGATAATGTTTGATAATCTTGATAGTATAAAGTTAATACATATTAATTTTTTTTAACTACAAACAGATTTAATATAATGACAGCAGAATATTGATTTGAAATGTTTTTAAAATGCAAATTCTTACTTTTGGTCATTTTTTTTATTTCAAAATTTAATATTCTACTAAATCAAAAAAATATATATACATATTAAGAATAAATAAATAAAAATAATAAAGAAAAAAAAAAAAAAAAAAACAGAAGTAGTAACACAAAATTTACATTGCTATATCTGCATTATACATCTGTATAATGCAGATAAATCAATGTTGCAGAATAGCGGCGTAAAATCATTTTATTTTTTCTCTTGTTGCATTTTTATGTTTTTGTCTTTCTTGAAGTGGAGACTTTTTATATAAACAAATGGAATGTTTACTGGCATCAGTACAAACATAGACTATCTTATAGCCTGCTGCTGCAAGAAGGTGCCGCTACATCAACTGAGGGTTTTGCATGGGGTAGTAATCTTTTTTCTTTTATTATTTCAATTAATATTCCTAATGTTAAAAAAGCCTCCACTGACGAGAGCGCAACAAGTGAAAAAATAAAATGATTTTACACCACTGTTCTGTGACATTACCTGCAGATACTTTATGTATATAAAAAACTACACACACAAAATTAATATATTTCATAAATGAGAAAATACAAGTATTTATTACTCTCAAACATAAACACAATGATTGGCATAAAAACTAAATTAAATTTTTAAATGATGATCTTACAATTCGATTGTTCAAAGGTTGTATCGGTCTGAAGTTGTTAGTTATAATTGTAGATCCAGATTCTGTAGACAAATGCCTTGCCTTTTGTTGGCTGTTTTTCTCAACCGAATGAGTAATACTTAAACTTCTGAGCTGATTAAAAGAAATACGTATTGGATCGGGAATTAAAACCCATGTAACATTTTCACTTAAAGGAGGAATGGTTAAAGAACCAGAGTATGTGTAGTAATTTTGAACACACAATGGAAACAAAAAGTATGGAGATATATTAATTATGGTATGATCATTAGGATACAATACTTTTTTAAAAGTTTCATTGATAACATTAAACTCTTTATTTTCTTCATACATATCACTAGCATCAATCAATAAACCAATAACAGTGAGGCCATCTTTAGATCTCATAGCTTGCATATCAGTTTCATACAAATCTGTGTTCCAATGGACAACATGCAACTCAGCTGCAAACCGTTTCCCATTAAAGGTATGCTCACAACCTAAATTACACTTACCTTTGTGCACTTCACCCCAGTGAAAGTGCATTTCTCGAAATGCATAATTATATTTTAATGGCCCTCCACATAAAACAAGACTTTTAAAATTATCAGCTAAAAATGAAATATTGAAACCAAGATTTCTTGCATTAATTTGTATGGGTTTTGTAATTAATTCTAAAGGTTTCAGGCTGTTATCGTACTCTATATTTTGCTTTATAATATCAATTGGAGATTGACAATTTTTAAATTCCCATATTTCTTGCCAATGATCTGGACCATGTTCTTTAGAGTAATCCCAATAACTGGTGTATAAATGATGAAAGTAATAAAAGTTTTTGCGTTGTAAACCAAAATGAGAATCAAAGAAGCACCAAATATAAGATTTATTATCTTTTTCAGCAGATATTAATAACTTACTGTTAAAATATCTTTTTTTTACAAAGAATTTTTTATTTATTTGTCGAATTAACATCATGTATCCTGTAAAATAAAAATAAATAAAATTCGAGAGCAAACGAATTGAGAGAATATACGTACCATGTATATATTACGTACTATTTTTAGCTGCAATAAATTTGCTTCATGCAGCAGTAATCTTTTATCACGTTTATAAAATATTAAAGAAAATTATACCTGGCGTCGTAGTGCTTTAATATTGAAATTAGAACCACAGTCTTAAAAGGCGTCAGTAAACAGTCATAAATAAAATGGTTTAATAAAATTTGGAAATTTTCATTGGTTAATTAAGTAACGCGACTATCAAGGAACAGCCAACGAAATGTTTTGTCATTATTTTCCGTCTTAGCATTTATACCAAAAAATGTTTCGTTGACTTACGTTTAAATCTTTCAACAAGATTTTTTTATGATTTTAAAAATGGTAGAATGGTAAAATTGATCATTTAAATAAATAAAACTAGAATTTTTTGACTGAAACTGAAATTAAATCTTTAAATTAATTTTATTTTTAATTTTTATTTAAAAACTAGTCATCTAATTGCCTAACCTTAGTTAGCTAATAAACTATTTTGTAAAAGTTAGTTTTTAGTAAGATCAATTAAAACAATTATGGTTTCAAGATAATATTTAGTAAATATGAACTTTTTTTAAGAAAAAAAACTAGCTAAGAATAATATATATATATATATATATATATATATATATATATATATATATATATATATATATATATATATATATATATATATATATATATATATATATATATATATATATATATATATATATATATATATATATATATATATATATATATATATATATATATATAATTAATAGTTCGTTGGTTTGTTCTTTCTAATATAGTAGATACGCGGGTATCGCGATTTACGGAACCGATTTTTATGCTAAAATTTTGGTTCTCGTTTTTTTAACTCCTTTTTAGGCAGCGTGTGGCAGACTAAGTTTTGTGGAGTTTCTTTTTAGAAACATGTATACACATAGATACTTTTTTGATAGAAGAAAAGCTAATCTTGCTTTTTTTAAGAAATTCATGTATAGTTACTTAACTTTTTTATCGATTATTTTGCTTCTAAATATTTCTTTGATGTTCTCACATGAATTTGTAGTCGAAGAAATATTGATCCGGCTTTTTTTTTTGTTCAGACAATTTTCTACATGCATTTTCTATGCACATGCCAAATTTCAACGAAAAATAATTGGTAGCAGATAGTTTAAAATGTGTTATATTACGTATACCACTTATTTTAGATAGCCTTAGGCAAACGTTTTTTGTTATGTTTTTTTAAGAAACATGTATAAACATAAATTATTTTTATAAAGAAGAAAGGTTAATCTAGATTTTTATATGACTTTTATATATGGTTACCAAACATATTATGGATTATTTTGTTTACAGTATTGCATGAAAATTTCGTCCCTGTTCTCACATTAATTTGTTGTCAAAGGATTGTCGATCCGGCTTTTTCTTTTAGTTTACCTATTTTTTACATGCATTTTCTTTTCACCTACCAAAAATCAACGAAAAATAATTGGTAGCAGATGGTATAATTAGTGTTGGACTTTTGGGACCTAATTTCGGTTTTTTTTTGTTGTTTTTAACGTTAAGCAAAATACGGCTAGGAGCGGAAAAAAAAAGAAAAGTTCCAATATTGTATTATTTTGATTTTTATTATTGGATTTATAATAGTGAAGCCTATAGATCAGGACCTACTAGACTCTCTAACAGACAGTAAGTTTAATATTTCTTTCATAACAATATCATTAATAACTATTTTAAATCAAAAAATATTACTAAATGTAACCCTAATCTTTTTTTATATGTTACATAAAAAAAGGAATAATGTTTCAGATTAAAACTTTTGCTTTTAAATGGATTGTTAACTGATAGTATCTGTTGACAACTTTATTAAAACACCACATAAATCAGATACTTCATTGGTTTATTCATAACAAAGGACTTTTTAGTTAATAAATAATATAATAAAAAATAATATTATTTTATCATTTTTGGATTGCATACTTCTTTATCTGTGAATTATTTATTTGTGAATTAAATCTGTGACTTATTAATTCTTGTTCAGATCCGGCTAAACATTATGCTGATTTTTTAAGATTTCGTAATTATAAATCACATAATTTATATATAACTACAACCAATATAACAAATAATGCATAAACAAAGTGTATAACCATTCCTAATGTTAGCTTGTTGCTTATAAATTTTTTATATCTTCACTTTTATAATTTGTTAATAAAGTTATACCATCTCACACAGAACCAATTTTTTGATTGTTAATTTTGTAACTTTGTAACAATTTTATAGTGTTTTTGGTAAGTGTACAATTTTTTTTTTCTCTTTAGTCCAATCTAAACAGACTACCAATGGTAAGTTTGTATATGATAACTTTTAGTAATGATTATAGAATAACAAATATAAGCAAGTATATTTTGGTTTTATTTATACTATTTTTAATCTTTACTCCTTTCATCAGTTGCAACGGTTATTTTAAAAATTATTACTTTTTAATCTGTAAATAGACTTAATACCAATTTCAAAGTTATCAATAGCAATATTTATTTTTTATTACTTTTTTTTACCTTCATCTACAACAAGTGGTAAGTCTAACAATTATTATTTTTTAATTTGTTTGCATTTCTCAATAATTGCAAATTTAATTTTTATTAAAACTTTTTTGCCTTAGTTCCATCCTCAACTTTATTGAGTGGCAAGTTTAAAAAATTTTTTATCGTTTCTTCTAAAAAACCTGTTCATATATGTATTTGTTTCAGATCACTAAAAATATTTATTTTGTATTACTTTTTTTTAATCTTTAGCCATATCTTCATCTACAACAAGTGGTAAGTTTAACAATTATTATTTTTTAATATGTTTGCATTTCTCAACAATTGCAAATTTAATTTTTATTAAAAACTTTTTGCCTTAGTTCCATCCTCAACTATATTGAGTGATAAGCTTAAAAAATTTTTTATTGTATCTTTTAAAAGACCTGTTCATATATGTATGCATTTCAGATAACTTGTAATATTTTTTTTTTTATTACACTTTTTTAACCTTAGTTCCATCTACATGTGCTATAAATTAGGGTTGTTAACGAAAGCCAAAATTGAATTTTCGATTAAAAAAAAAGTTTTCGAAACTCTATTTTCGTTTCGGTAAGTTCGAAATAATTTTATAGTAATTAATTTTGCATCGAAACGATTTATTACTTTCGAAATTGTAAAATCTGCTTCGAAATATTTTTGCGATTTCGAAATTCTGAAAATATTATCGAAATAATTTTTTACTTTCGAAATTGTAAAATTTGATTCGAAATTTTTTTGTGATATCGAAATTCTAAAAATATTACCGAAAAAGATTTTTACTTTTGAAATTCTAAAATTTGCTTCGATATATTTTTGTGATATCGAAATTCTGAAAGTATTACACATTATACAAATATTACTATTAAATTCTAAAATTTACTTATATTTATTTTATTACTGAAATTATACAAAATTTTATTAAAATATTTTTATAAATAATTTAATTTTTTAAAATTAACATAAAATAATACTTAAAATTTTTGGTGTTACGGCACAGTGGTGGCAGAGAAAAGGGTTTAACTACCTCCCACTATTTTATTGAAGAATCTGCAATTATTTTAAAAATAACTCAGGGGTAGTTCGCAAATCACCTCACATATTTAGGCCTAGCGGGATTTCGGATTTTGTGACTCTTTGTAACCGGGGGGTGGGGGGGGGGGTGGAAGAGGGTTTACAAATTTGTGACATCACAGGTGATTAAAACGGAATAAAATAAAATTACTAACTTTAATAAAACTCTAAATATATAGAAAATAGTACTATTTTTGCTACTTTTTAAAAGAAGCTGCTACCAAAAAAGCAAGGATATACTCAGAGCCGTGGATAGACTCGCAGCGCTCCTCCCTTAATTTTTTTTTTTTGGGGGGGGGGGGAGAGACACATTGAGGGGCTCTTTTTCAAATTTTTGAGGATCTTTTACCGAATATGGGGAGCTTTTTTATTTTTAGTAACAGGTTTTTTTAAATTTGGTTTTTGCCTTGGTTTTTGGCTCAAAGTTCTTGATTGGTGTTGCAAATATAACGATAACATTTATCAACTACAAGGAAACTTTCTTAAGGTATTTGCTTATCTTTATACGAATTATTGTTATTAGTTACAGTTCATTGATATTACATGGACATCTGCTGCGCGGGACAAACAATACCTTCTTCTTTACCTCTCTCGCCTGATTAGATTACGCTTCATAACTTTTTACTTTTATAAAATTATTTTTAGGGATTATATTTACCCTCACCAAAAGCTTGAATAGCCTTTTTGATAGCTTGAATAGCGTTAAAAACTAAATAATTTTTTTTTTTTGCCTGTTGTTTTGATTACACAAAAATTTCTTTTGAAAATACTTTTTTTATTTCGAAAACACAATGATTAAAAATCAAAATCATCCATCTAAATTTGAAAAACGTAAATTTGAAAGAAAAGTTGCGTAACTTTAGACACAGAGTCTGAAAAGAATTTTATTTTCAATATCTGTAAATTTTTAAAAATAAAGTAGAAGGCCAGCCTCAAAAAGTTAGCAAAAACTAAATCGTTTTCGAATTTTTCTCTAAAATCTAATAAAGATTATCTTGTTAAATAAGAAATATTGAATTTTGACACTCCCTTTTTAGAATGCATAGTTCACAGCACGCACAAAAGTCATTATTATTCCTCAACGGCAATTCCCTTGAGGCCTTAAACACCATTGTTGCCATGTAAACAGCTAATTACTTTAGTAGTTATTTAGAGATTTACAGCGGTTTCAAATCGATTTATGCCTTTGCGATTTTTGTGTTAAAAAAATGTAACTTTATATTAAAGTTATAACAATCTCATTAATATCTCGGTATCGTAAGTGAAGTAACATGTGTTACAAATTTATTTTAACATAAGTTACTAATTTGTTAATATTTGTTACATACGAACAATTTAAAAAACTACTCGCTTTTTAGTTTGAATAAACAATGTCAAAAACCAATAAATCCGTTATTAAGAAAGGAATAAGAAAACGAAGCTTCGTTTGGACATATTTCGAAATGGACCAAAAGAATCAAACAAAATGCAGCATATGCTATAAGATTTTACCTTACAACAGTTCGACCAGTTCAATGCAATCCCATTTATCAATTGATCATTGCATTAATTCTAAAATATCTAAAAAATCAACATCTTTACTCAACGATGACAATATATCCGATATTGAGAGCGCTAATGAGAATGGTTTTGAAGAGACTGATCATAAAAAGTTAAACAAGTTATTGGTGAATCTTATTGTTGGTACCGATCAGCCGATTTCAATAGTATGTCATCCAGATTTTGTAAACTTAGTGAGTTAAACAAAAGCTACAAAATACCATGCATAAATACGGTGAGCAAGAAATTAATTCCATCAATTACGGACAATCTTAAATCAACTTTAATGCTAGAATTGAAGGGATGTCATTTCATTACAATTACTTGTGATAGTTGGACATCATTGGGTAAAAAGAGCTACCTCGGTGTGACTTTTCGAATTGACAAAAATATGACTCTAGTTGACCGAAATCTGGATCTTAAGTCTATGTCTGAAATGAAAACAGCTGAATATTTATTTAATACGTTAAACGAAATCTTCAGTGAATGGTCAGTCAATAATAAGATTTTTGCACTAGTTACTGACTCAGGTGCAAATATTTTCTCTGCAGTAAATAAATTTGATGATAATGTTCTTAAGATTCCGTGTGCTGGTCATCGTTTGAATCTCGTGGTTATTGATCTTCTAAACGCGAGAGATATAAAAGTAAAAAAAATTAAAAATGGGTGAAAGCGTTACAAAGTGAAAGATTACGACGGTAATGGAAAATTAATTAATAGAGAAATTACAGAAATTAAAGTGAAAGACATTGAAAAAATTGACGAAGGCAAATTAGAAATTGCCAAGGTAATTTCATCCTGCAGGCACATTGTTGGTTCATTTAAGCATTCAGAGATGTTACAAAAAAAGTTAAAAGAAGTTCATGAAACACTTCGTTATGAAACTAAAATAAAGTTTGTACAGGATATAGCTGTTCGCTGGAATAGCCAATTCGATATAATTGAATCTATATTAACAAATAAAACTGCATTGGATTTGATAATCATCAAATTAAGAAAAGACCTAACTTTATATAGCATTGAAGTATTTTTGGAGATTTTTTTTTCAATAGATTTAATATGATATTTCTATGATATATTTTTATCAATAATCACTCCTAGAAAAGTTGACAGTATACTGTTAACTTTCTAGGAGTGATTATTGATGAAAATAAATCATAGAAATATCATATTAAATCTATTGAAAATAAAATCTCCAAAAATACTTCAATGCTATATAAAGTTAGGTCTTTTCTTAATCCGTATTAAGAAAATTATGTATTTTTAAGTTAGGTCTTTTCTTAATCCGTTTTTGAAAATTATGTATTTTTCATTTAGGAAGAGTTAGGGCACCGTGGATCGGATTTCTTTTTTTTTTAATTTGAGTGAAAGTTAAAATATATTTTATCTTTGTCAAGGCTAAAGGATTGAGAAATATGTCCTTTATGATAAGAAATTACTAAAACCTAAATATTTATTATCTAACAGCTCACAGAAAGGTTTAAAGTGAGTTGTGTTAAGTGATTCACTGTACACCAGCACTGGGGTACAGTGAATCAACTAACACATTTTCAATTTAGTTAATGGGGGCGTAGCCAAATAATTTTAATGATGAGGGTGTAAATACATTGTACACTATACTTTTGACGCACTTTTGGTAATTAAAATTATATAATTTAAATTTTTTCTGATTGAAAAAATAAAGAATAAATTTAATTGATAACAAAACTTATTCAACCATCTAAAATCACAAAAAAAAATTTACCTTATAAAACTTGTTTAACCAACAACAAAAGAAATTTTTAAAAGTGAATTTTTAATTTTTATAAACATTTTAATTTTTATAAACATTTTAACCACAGTGAATCAACCGATTCACGGTACCTCGATTCATTGCGCCCCACCATAAAAAATAAGGTTCAAGTTTAATTTCTTGGGACATGAGTGTTATTAAAGGAAAAGCAAAACTACTAAAATGAAGCATAAATATCAGTATTCCCAATATAAAACTTTAACTTATAAAATGATTTTAACCATGATCCCCACAACAAACATAAAGATGGTAAGAACATTTACTTTAGTTAGCTAAAAACATAAATTACCTAAAACCGAGAGTCAAAAATTATGTGGTAACACCTATAAGTAAAGATGGTTGATATATGTGCACATAAACTGATTACATCATCGTGATGAACAAAATCATAATCTTTGAGAAAATGCTTCTTATTCACTGTGCCCCTCGATCCACTGTACTCCGATTTCCCTTATTCTTAGTTATCTTTCCTATTGTAATCTTGCATGGGGAAGTACCAATTATGGGAAGCTCAAAAAAATTTATAGCAAACAAAAACATTAATGCAGGATTATATTTGGCGTTAACAGAACTGTTAATGATGAATCTCTTTTAAAGAAACTTAATGTGCTTAATGTTTATAAACTTAATATATACCAAGTTATGCTTTTTACGTTCAAATCAAAACATGCGTTATCTCCGAATATATTTCACTCTACTTTGTAGAAATATCTCATTAATACCCATCTGATAATTTTGTTATTCCAAGATCTTATTTAAAACTCAATTCATTTCAAATTCAATACCGTGGACCATTTATATGCAAAAGTTTTTTAAAAAACATTATTAAAGATAAAATTCTTCTACGAACAATTTTAAGAACATTTAAAACTTAAAACAATTCAAAAGAGAATCTAAATGTTTTCTTTAAGAAAAAGACTTCAATATTTATTTTAATATTTCTTTTAAAAGTTCCTAAAATAATTAAACCTGAAAAAGTCATCACTACTCATTTATTGTTGTCTGGATGTGTATCTTATTTATTTCTCATTAAAATAAAATATATATACTATTAATTTTAAACAAACAAAAAAACAAACAAAAAATTTTTACGATATATTACTTGTGTAGAACTAATATTGTATTTTATTTTTAACTTTATTATTTTTAACTTGTAACTTTGTGACGTCAATGTAAACGGGGCTTGGCGATAAGACAGGTTATGTCTTCTTCTTGCTCCGGCCATTTTTTATATATGTATGATCTTCCTCCTCATTGTATATTTTATTATACGGCAAAAAAAAAAAAGATAACAATTGGAAAAAAGAAAAAAAGAAACTGGTTAAGTTTTAAGTATATATTATAAAAGATTTACCTGCCGATACCCATAGTAAATTAATTAGGCCCCCGGTTATTTAGTATTATTATGCAAATAAAATTTAAGGTATTAAAATTGCATTTATAAGTTATGCTTTTAAAATTTATAGCGTTAATTCGATGTTGTTTTTTTTGAAATTAATTAACTTTTTAAAAAAGAATTTTTTTTCCGAAATAAATTAAACTTTTCCATAATTTCACTTTCGAAATTAATTTAGCTTATCAAAAATCTTTTGGTTTTTTCCGAAATTAATTGCACACTTCGAAATTCTTTTTTTTCTTTCGAAATTAATTTGACTTTTCAAAATACACTTTTTTTTTTCGAAGTTAGTTTGACTATTCGAAACTCTATTTTTTCTTTCGAAATTAATTTCACTTTTCGAAATACACTTTTTTTTTCGAAATTAATTTCACATTTCGAAATTCTTTTTTTCCTTTCGAAATAAATTTCCCTTTTCAAAATCCACCTTTTTATTTCGAAATTAATTTCACATTTCGAAATTCTTTTTTTCCTTTCGAAAATAATTTCCTATTTCGAAATCCACCTTTTTACTTCGAAATTAATTTCACATTTCTAAATTACTTTTTTTTTTTCGAAATTAATATGGCTAGTTCGATTATTTTCGAAAGTTTTTTTAGATTTCGAAAAACACTATCGAAATACTTCTTTTTTTTCGAACTCTTAAAAAACTTTCGAAAATATAAAACGGTATGTTTCGAAAGTATAAAATGGTATGTTTACAAATTATTACTTTTCAATTTGTTTATGCATTTCTTACCAATTGCAATTTTTATTTTTTATTACAACTTTGTTAACCTTTAGTTACAAGTGTTAACCAAGCTGTAGCAGTTGCTACAAGTCGTAATACAAGTGGAATAAACTATTATTTTTTAATATATGTATCTTTTATGTATGTGTAAAAATGTTGTTTCAAATATGTGTATGCCTTTCTTATAAATTGCAAATAAAATTTGATTCTATTACAACTTTTTTTTACCTTTAGTCCCACAACCTCCTCAACATGCTCGACAACCTTCTTCTGGTAAATTTATGATTTAGAAATGTTTCTGAATAATTATTTAATTAATAATATTTTTATTTTTCACACACTAATTAATACATTAAATAATTTAAAGTGCAGTACAAGTAAAACTCAGTGCAGTGTTTAAATTTTTACTTTAATTAACATTTGTTATGCTTTTATTGATTTATTAGTCGTTCATTCTATTTATTTTGATATATTGATTTTTAGGGTGGATACTCCAACCTGCATCTTGTAATGTGGTAAGTTATGTCGCTCTTTTTACACAATTTAAAGACATTTTAAAAATTTTTATTGACATTTTTTTAAAGTTTGAATAAGAAGGGGTGGGGGCATTGGGCGTGGCAAACACCTCTCCCCTTACTAACATGATAAAATAATCATGAATACTAATTTCTCTTTAAGCTCAATTTGAAACTTTTTTTCAAATAACTTTCAAATTTTTTTTTAAGTCAGAGAAGACTAAGAGGGGGGGGGGGAGGGGAAGAAGCGGCAATGGGCGTGGCATCGACCCGCCCCAAATGTCAATTTATGCACCACTTTTATATGCTGTTAAGAAAGAAAATATAACTAAAACTTTTTAACATTAAATATAATCAGTGTTTTTAGGTTAAAATATTTATAAAAATGTAACATTTCATTACGAGAGTGTTAAAACGTAACTAAGACATCCACCCTTTAATCTAAAATAGACCACTAATATTTGGAAATGGAGTGGAAGTAAATTAGAACAACTTTTTGTATATAAAGATAACAAATTTTATCAGAAAAACATTCTTTCTTGTGAAAAATTTGTATTTTTTTAAGGTTACGATGGTGTTCCGATACTCCCTCTGGCCCTCTAGAAACCCCTTTTATCTATAGAGTTATATGAACTTGTAGCCTACTCTTACATCTATCTTTTGATACCAAGGTATTGGCATTTGGATAAGATTTGACAAAGTTATAACAATTTCAGTAAAAAAAGAATAATTTTGGAACCAGTTTCTTCAAGAAATCCATATATCGAAAATTTGCTACGAAAAACGTCATAACTTTTTTAAAATCGTTCGTTTTTAATAATTTTTTTACCATTAAAATACTTTATTGAAGGGCTTTCTAATGATGTATGATATTCAAGTATATACTCAAAAAAAATCATTCCACGTACCTAAATATAGCATTTATAAAAAAATAACATAGAAGAAGAACAACAACAAAAACAAGCTATTTATGTTCCATTGTAAAATCATTTTTACAATAATAAGGTAAATAATAATAACAATAATAATTATAAAATAATAAGCAATAGTAACAATTTATAACAATAATAATAAGAATAACAAAAATAAAATATAAATAATAATAATTACTATAATAATAAGTAAAATGATATGTTATTTCTTATTATAACAAGTTAATGAGCAGTATGGACCAAGTCGGATTCTACGTCATTCGGAATAGCAACCATTATGGATTACGAGGGGCGCCACAGGACTAGCCCTGTGGCGCCCCGTCAAACGCGGTTTTCCTAAATGCTCATTAAATTAAAATTCCCAATTTAAAGATGAAAAAATCCCATTCTCCAAAAAGAGTTTTTAAATTAAAGTTGAATAATAACTCTAAAAATAATTTAAAATTAATTATTGTTCAAAACTTATGGAAAAATAAAATAAAAAAATTCTAATTCATTAGTTGCGTACAACATGAAATCAAATCGCCATTATTGGTATAAAAACGCAATTGCATAACTGTGAAAATTGGTTTCTTGAAAAAAACATCATCAGAATTGGGACTTTTAGAGCGATTTTTGGGATTTTTGTGGCTACTTGCAATAAAGTTTGAAAATAGTTTTTTGCAATGCATTCCAACAACAGCAAATATTATATAAAAAAGTTAGCAAGAAATAAAGTACTAATATAAAAGATCCAAAATAAGAACAAACTTGTTTGGTTTGACACCCGCAAATCCTATATCTTTAAAAGTTTCACCTTTTTTGGCTAAAAAGTTAAACAACTTATTAAGTCTGAACGTAAACTTAACTTTAAGTAGTTCATGTATTTCGTCAACAAAAACATCAAGTAGTTCATGTATTTCGTCAACAAAAACATCAAGAAGGTCAGATACCTTTTGATCAATTACGGTTATTACAAAAAGTCTTTTAGTTTTTGTTTTTCTTTTATTTGTTTGGTATTTTATATCAACTGAATTTGCTAAAGTTTTTTACTGGTATTCTTCGATGCCACGCGTGCAATCGCTAGCTAATAATATTACTCTATAATTAAACAATATTTGTTGCTGTATTTGCTGAGACTTTGCGATTATAACTTTATTTCGCTTTGTGATTTATGTATAAAATAAATTATTATTAATTATAAAATTGAACTTGCAATAAATGTGAAATATGAAATTTGTGAGCTCGTGTTTACTATTTTTAAAACCTTATCTATTTTCAAAAAATTTTATTTGATGACACAATTTATTATATGATGATGTAAGGATTCGTTCGTAAGGTACATCGAGCAGAATTTAAATAATAATTAGAAGTAGAAGATCATTGGCTCATTGGAGATCGCTATTTTACTATATTACATTGAAATTGAAATATATATAAAATAATACTCTTGAAATGAAAGCGGCGACAATATAAAAAGAGCAAAAATAAGTCAAATTAATTACTCTCAATAATAATTATAATACACTGATTTGTTTATAATAAAAAAAGATATCATTCCTAATATATATTAGGAATGATATCTTTTTTTATTATAAACTATATATTTATGTTCGGAAATCAGTTCTTAGTTTGCCGTGTCGTGAAACAACAGCTAATTTTGTATTGATTTCATATTCATCTTTAATGATACAGATGGTATTTTATTTTATTTTTGGTGCTGATCAATAAATGTATGCAGCGCTGAAGTAAAGTAGAAAAAAAGAACACCAAAAAAGGACCCCATGCTTTCCCAGAACATATTTTAGTCTCAGGGTAGGAGGGGGGGTTGATCAAGAAATACTTCGACAAATTCCCAATTTCGTTAAAACGCTGTATCAAATTTATTCCTGATTAACACCCTGAAATACAACTGCAACTTCATCATGTGAAGGTAGATTATTACGACGTCTATCACCGCCTTCAACTAAAGACATTTTTACAACAGAAGCTGAGCGACCTTCTATAGCCGCCTTACGAATTTCTTCATCTTCTACTTCAGCCATGTTTTTAAATGCAAGAGCAAATGGACTTTGTTCCATAATTATAGTTTGCAATTGAAACATTAAATCATGTAAACAAAAATTATTACCATGTTGTTGCATTCTAAAATTTAGTGCAGCAAGTAGATCATAAATATATAGTTGAGAATATATTGGTGGAATATCTTGATCTGGCCTAAGATTACCTACACGATGAAAAATCTGGCACATATTTTAAAACATGGAAGCCCATGATTCATTGATTGAACTACATTTGCTATAAAAGAAGCAAAAGAAAGGCAGGCATTATAATTTCGAATATGTTTTAAAAAATTAGCATTACGATCAACATAACTCCCTGTAAAAAAATCCTGTAAAGCTTGTGTAATTAGTGAAAGTGGAGGCAAAGCTACCTTACCATTATGGCAACATAGAAAATGTGTTTTATCTGGAAATTTCTAAGCACCACAGCGCTGACAAATTTGATTAATTTCTCCTAAATAATTATAATCTGGAATAGCATTACTTCTCGCTATAGAATACATTCGTCCTTGTCCAACAGCTCTTCTTTCATTTTGGCGACGATTAACATTATCTCAATCTAGCCTATTTCTTTCATTTTGTAAACTATTAATTTCATCTCGCCTAAGTCTATTTCTTTCATTTCGTCTACGATTATTTTCAACACGCCTTATAGCACTTACATCATCTTGTAAATACATAACTTCATCTAGCCTATCATCCATTTCAATGTCATCATTTTCATTAAACATATTTATCAAAGCAACACTAATTATTTCTTTTTTTTTACTAATCTAAAGTTAACAATAAAATAAAAAAACTTAATAACTAAAAAAATCATACTCGAAAAATTAAAAAAAAAATCCTCAAAACAAATTTAAAAAATTAAAAAAAAAATCCTCAAAACAAATATATATAATTTAGTTATATAAAAATTAAAAAAAAAAAATCCTCAAAACAAATATATATCAAGAAACCAAACAAATGCAAAATAAAATTAATTTGCCATCATCAAAAGTAATACAGGTTTCTTAAGTTTATTTGATAGAAGTTAAGAAAAATCTGCAACCACATCAGCAAAAACTTATTAAAAAAAGTTAAAATTTATTTTATTTCTAATAATAAAAAAAAAAATTGCGACAGCGTCATAGTTCATGCGTTGGAAGAAAACATTGAACAAAACACGTAATAAAATTATTATGCATTAAAATTATTAATGCATTATGTATAATAGAAAACAGGTTATTAACGCGGGTTTATAAATTTTTTTCTCCTAACACACTATTATGCTGCAGCAACTCCAACGATATATATAGTTATATATATATATATATATATATATATATATATATATATAATATATATATATATATATATATATATATATATATATATATATATATATATATATATATATATATATATATATATATATATATATATATATATATATATAGTTATATATATATATATATATATAGTTATATATATATATATAGTTATATATATATATATATATATATATATATATATATATATATATATATATATATATATTATATATATATATATATATATATATATATATATATATATATATATATATATATATATATATATATATATATATATATAGAACTATTTATTAGTGAAAACACATGAAAACCAAAATTTTTTATTTTAGTATATATTTGATAAATAAACCTCTACAATTTCTTTGGTTCAACAACTCGATTATGATTAATAACAACTCTGTAAACATGAATTTTCTAATAATTTAAATCTTAATAAATTATAAACAATTAATTACTTATTTAAACAAATAATTACTTATTAAATTTTAAAAAGATTTTATATATACTTAATGTCTACTTAGACATTGAAATACTTAATGTCTATTTAGACATTGAAAAGATCTACAATTTTGAAAACCTGAAACTTTAAATCTACCTCAAAAAAAAAAAACAGATATATATTGAAAAGTATTATTTCTTTTTAAAAATTTAAAAATGTTTTTTAACTTACTCCCTCCAATATTATTATATAATTTATAGTATAAATTGATAAATAAACCTCTACAATTTCCTTGGTTTAACAACTTGATTATGATTAATAACAACTCTATAAACATGAATTTTCTAATAATCTAAATAAATTATAAACAATTAAACTTAAATAAAAATGTATGCAAATGATAAATGCTATATTAAGTACAGAAAAGCAAATATATAATAACACAATTATATCCTAAACCAAAATTCATTAATGCAAGACAAATTATTATATATTTATTGAAAAGCCAGAAACATATTTTTTTTCAAAGAGCCAAAGTATTAACAATACTATAGATAAATTTTATTTATAAAAAAATGTTGTCATGGCTTTTATTCCAATTATTAAAAGCATGTGAAAGCTTTTAATAATTAGTACATCTGGTAACATACAAACTAGAATAAGAAGGACATCAGGTTTTTATTGATATTTAGTTTTACAATTTTATAATTTTTACCATAGTTTTAAAATAAAATGGCAAACACTAAATAGATTTCAATATAGATATAAATACTCAAAGAAAAATTATTAAGATATAAAATATACGAATTGCATTTATCATTTTAGCTAAAAGGCAGTCGATTAACGTTCTTAAATCGGAGGAAAAAGAATTATCAAGTGATTTATATAGTTTTAACATTGGAGTTGGTTGTCCTAATAATAATGCAGCAATTAAGCCTGTTACTAGTAGTGTGATTTTGCAATTACCTGTGGCTTTGCAATCTTTTTCATCACAACCAAATTTTTCTTTACAATCACCTGTAACGACTTCAGAAAAAGAGGAACTTGAAATGAATGAACTAAGAAATGAAAGGGATTCTTTAAAAATAAAAAATATTGAGTTGAAATTAACTGTATTCCTATTTTCTTTAGAAGCCTTGAAGCAAAATCCTTCATTTTGCATGATGCTGACTGAATTAAATTATAAAGTGTTGTAAAAAATATTAGTTTATATTTGTGAAAATACATTTGAGTCTGGAAAACCAACAAAACTTAACAAACATGATCAGGTTATTATTACCATAATCAAGTTGAAGCAAAATTTAAATTTTGATTTGATTGCATACCTTTCTAATGTTAGTAAAACAACCATTATTGAATATTTTTATAAATGGCTCGCTACGATGTATTCGAAACTCAACTTTCTCATAAAAATGCAAGATCGAGATAACATATACAATACAATTCCTGGCATTTTTAAAGCAAAATTTCTACGTTTAACATCTATAATTGATTGCTTTGAAACATTTGTTAAAGCATCATCTATTTTAGCAAGGGCTCAGTTTTACAGTCAATACAAAAAACATTGCACAATCAAAGTATTAATTTCCTGTACTCTTACAGGTGCTATAAATTTTTTGTCAAAGTGTTATGGAGGTAGAGCTTTAGACTTACAAATTGCACGTGAATCTAAATTTGTAAGTAAACACATGCCAGGAGACCAAATCTTAGCAGATCGTGAATTCACTCTTCAAGATGATTTTGTTGCAGGGAGTTCTGCTGAGTTGTTAATTCCGGCATTTAGAAGTAGAAACATCAAGAAAAATTGCCTCTGTTAAAAACCATATTGAACACCTAATAGGATTGATGAAAAGCAGGTACGCTATATTGAAAGGTGTCATACCATTGAAAATAATAAAAAATATTAAAGATGAGACTGCAAACTGTATTTTGGCAAACTGTGATAAAATAGTTACTGTGTGTGCTGCTCTGACAAATTTAGGAGAAAGCGTTATAAATAATATGTAAATATGACATTGAGTTTATAAAAATATTTTGTTTTTGTTATATATATTGTATATATATATATATAACAATATATATATATATATATATATATATATATATATATATATATATATATATATATATATATATATATATATATATATATATATATATATATATATAACAATATATATATATATATATATATATATATATATATATATATATATATATATATATATATATATATATATATATATATATATATATATATATATATATATATATATAAGTTTTAATGGTGTTTAAGTTAAATAATTTCATAACTCTAAACTTTGATTCCAAAAAACTTTGATGATTGAAGTTTGAAAACAAAAATAACCCAAAAAGACACCCCACCCCAATTATGAGTGCAATGAGTTAATTAAATATTTTATTTAACTATCCTATACTAAATTTAAATTCATCGGCTGGTTTCAAATTTTTTATTACTCAAAAATTATGACCATATAAAATTTTTACAACCTCCTCATTTTGGGGAGTGTGGAAACTTCTTATGGTAATAACTTTTACAGTAAAATATTAGAAAAATTTTTTTTAAACCGGTCGATGAATTTATATTCTTGTTTGATATAAGTATGAACTTATTAAGGTTTAGAGTTTAGAACTTACTTGAAAATTACTTAACTCCAAGAAGCCCTGTACCCGCCCCCGAAGTTGACATTTCTACGGATTTGAATTAGTAGATTTAGACACAACACAACCTTACGCTTCACACAATCATGCATGGTTTCCTTACATTTGGTTGTTTATAAATTATAGCTATAATGCTAAAAATAAAAATGTTGTGACTGATCATTGAAGCAGCTGATGTTAGAGCTACCTGGAGTTGGTGTTTTTACATGGAGACGAGCTTTAGATAGCTAAAATATTTATTAAAGGAGCCAACTCCGGAGTGGGTACTTCAATAAATATTTTTGGCTTCGACACCCTTTACAACTAACAAGTGTTTTTCTTGAAATCTAAGTCTATGGATATCTAAGTACAGTAAACATTATTTTGTGAAAGAGTTTATAAAAAAAAAGACACTAAAAATTTTAAAGATATTCTAATAACATTTCTTCGTGAGCTTTATTAAAAAAAAAAAATGACAAGTAAATTTTATATTATTATGGTATGAATTTTTTGTTTTACAAAGTTTGATATTATATATAGCAACTCTTACAAATTAGTGTAGAGGGGCTATATTCTGTACTAAAGTTATATTGAGCGATCTGTGTTTCTCACTCAAACCTGATATTTTATTTTTACGGATGATAACTTATTTTTACGGATGAGTGCATTTGAGGATGAGTCCATTTGAGAAACCATTTCTTAAATGTTTTATTATACTTAAGGTTTCTTTAATTTTTTTCTTGGAGCCGCTCCGGAGCGAGAAATTGTTATCGTGCCTGAGACTTTAAACTAACTGTTAGATTTTAAACTAAGCTATAAAAATAGTCAATGTTTCTAATTACCATTAATTTCTTATCTGTTGTTTTAAAGTTTTTGCACCGTCCCTAAAAATTTGATTTTTTTCGTTTATCAATTGTATACTCAAGAAACTTTTTTTTAATCAAATAATTTTATATTTCAAGCAAACTTATATTGCTATTAAACTTGTTATCTAAAAAAAAAAACAAGAAATAAATGTCAGTAAAATTATAAAATTACCAGGAAAAATTTTGAGGTTAAATATTTACTACAAGTTTAAATATTTATTGCAAAATAAAAAACATTGCTATAACTTTGACGAGAAGTCACTGTATAGGAAAAAGGAAAATAAAAAGAAAGACAATTTTAAAATAAGAACGTTAAGTTTCAAAAATTTTTTTATTGCTTCTTATAAATAAAGACTAATAAAATTTAAAATGGTATCATTGTTTTTTGTTTATTTAAGATTGCACACTGTTTGCAGTACCACGTTTTATCTTTTGGGAGTCGTTTTAATCCAATACAAATCGGATGATACCAGTTGTCACATCTATCGCAACCCACTATATTATCTACTTCACCACGAAACTCACAATTTTTTATACAATGTATAAACTTTTTTCTTTAGGATAAATATCTTTAGGGTAATAGTTTTCACAAGATGATGATGTGGACCCTTCTAAATTCCTGGTGATTAATTCTGGTAAAACAAAATTTTCCAAAACAAATTGCATCATTCAAACAAATTGCATCATTCATAAATTATGAAGGAAAAAATCATCCGTTTCAATATTGACAATCACATATTCAGATGGTGCCCATACCACAAAATGACAAAATAATGCTTCAGTGCACATAATTTCGTATTGTACTTGAAATTATTAGTTGTGGCTTTCTCTAAGAAAGTAACCATCTTGTTCTTTTCCAACATAAAACATACCACTTTCAATTTCTTGTTGAAGAAACTTATCCCGTAGGGCATAAGGAAACTTTACCTCAAGTACACCATAACCACAGCAAGAGCAAAAGACTATACCATCAGGCGAAGCTCCGTACTATGGCTTATTTTTGAATACACTAAGTTCTATAGACTCAACATGAAAATCGTCATGAATGGGTATGCTTTCATTCAGTGCCTTCTCCCGACAGGAGTTTCCAGAGCAGATATTTCTGTAAAACTCTATAGCATCTTTTTCATGATTTTTTCCCTACATTAAAGCTGAGCTTTAATTACACTTATTTATTTAGCAAATCTTTCTCACTAAACTCATGTTTGAGCTATCAAATGATACATGGTATACTTCACCAATTACAGATCCAGTAATGCTTACTGCTCGTTGGCGTAGCCATGACAAAAAGTAATGTTGTGTTCTTGTCGCCTCCTCAATGTAAACAACATCTACATCACTAAGGACCAACTGGCTGACTAGCAATTCATGATTTTCATCAAGTAGTAAACTGGTGTCTGCACCATACAAATGTCTTAGAGATGGTGGTAGTATCTGTAGTTTTTTACTTTGCAAAAATTTTTTTTGCTGAATTGACCCAAAAGACTCAAGCCAACACTTTTAGGTTGCACAGAATTAATTTCTTTTAAAAAATTCATTTTAGAATCATATGTTGTTGAAACATTGTTATATACTGTTTCGACTGTAGTGGCCCCCTCGGGCTTTGGGAGGTGAATAATTAAAAAAAAAAAAAAAAAAAAAAGTAATTATTAAAGCAAATCTACTAAAACTATATAGTAGATTTTCAAAATTTTAAATGAAAGAAGTTTACACTAACATTAATATAAAGTATATTCACCATAACTACAACATTTTCAATAATTAGTATGTGTTTTACTTACCCAGCCATACAGTTGAAATGACCTGCCAAAACAGTCCCATCTGATTTTAGAGCTACCCATGGCTTGTGACATTCATAAGTAGTCCGGTAAGATGGCCTCACATCAGCGCACATAATACATACTATCCAATTTAAAGTAAACAGTTTTTCGAAACCAGCCTGATCTAAAAAAATTCCAGGCATCAAGTGACAAAGTTTTCCATTGCCTCTGGTGAGTAAATGCCTAAAATTTTAAAAAATGAAAACTAAATAAAATTTTATGAAATCTCAAACATTTATTAAACTTGATAAATTAATTAATTATTGCAGTAAGACTTACTGTGGAGTCTTAATGAGGTAGTGATATAAATGGTGATAAGTCAGTGGTGGCCAATCGTTTGGGTTGTCAATCCACTTGTCTGCACGAAATTTGTAAGGGCATTGATTTAAACCTAACAACATAGTAATAGTTAAACTTACTCAAGTAACCAAACATGCTTTACATAATGCCAAATGTTTTAACATTTTCATTTAAAGATTTTATATACTAAGTTACATTTAAAATAACTTAAAAACGATTTAAGTAAATTAAATAAAATTATAAACGCACTTTATAATTTGTATGTTATAACTTTTTTATATAATTTATATTTTAATTACCTTTTACTAAAAAAAATAAAAAAAATAACAGGAATAGATATAGTAAAAATTAGTTATAATAAAAATTTTTATTATGGATTTGACAAAACCGTATTAAAAGTTCTATACTGTAAGTTATATTATAACCAGAGATTAGATACAAACACTTACCAAGTAATGCTAATTTTTCATCGTATCTTTCTTTTGATATCGCATCCAGATTTTTTAAATAATCATATACCGATGCCATAATAATAAATATAAAAGAATAACTGAAAATTTGTGATAATTGTTAAAGAAACAAAGAATCGTAGCGTTTGTTTAATTTGTTTTCCCCTAAAAAAGCATAAACGCAACCACCTTATTTTTAATATTCTTTTTATGTCCTGATTATATTACTTATTTTATTTTGACTGTAGAAATGGCCATACATTAACCAGAGAGAAAATAACAGATGAGTTTTATGTGTGTTCTTTTCCAACATAAAACATACATAAGAAAGAAAGCACATGTGTCGGTTTCTGAAACCGGAAATAAATACTTATCACATGTTTTACCAAAATCTAGAACCAATATAAGTAGGTCCCACATAATTGTTTATTTATCTTCTTGACACAAATAAAATTAACATTTATTTAAGACATAACTAATATTTTTAAATAGCTATTTGAATTAATGCATATTTTTAAACAGATTGACGGTCCGATATCTAACAGAAGATTGTCGACGACTAATAATTAAAGCCATATAGATTTATGAAAATTGACTGTTGTTTATTTCTAACTTATTATAGACAAAAATGGATAATTTATATTATCAAAAAGAAGCACTTCTCCATTTATGTAAAAGTCAGCACTTAGGTAATGTGTGCAACATTAATCTTACCAGAAGAGAAGGAAACGTAACGGAAGATTTTGCCAGAATGAAACCTGAACTGACAAATTTCAGTAGTTGGTTAACTCTCTCTAATCTATTGAGTAAACTAAACCTCTATCTCTAAATTATTGTGTATTTTGTGTTTAAAATAATGATTTTTCTCTTTTGAGAACAAATTCCTGAAAAATTTTAAACGCAAAATTGTTTAATGTTTTATGTCAGTTTTGTTGCTTTTATTATAAATTTTGTACGAAATCTTTTAATTTTTTAAAAAGCAATATTTGTCTACGTGTTATAAACTTATTAAACGTTTTAATAAATTTATAACACGTAAAGAGTTGCAATCAATATCAGGCATGTACGGTATTATTTTTATTTATTTTTTTTCTTTTGAAAGTAAAAAACTTTTTTTGGTCTGAATAGGCAGTTTTGGGGTAAGAGGATAATCTGCGGATTTTCCTTTCTTACCTAAGAAATCTGTGGTGAAGTTATCTGCATGTTTAGTGTTAAAGAAACAGTAAAAGGATGATGGGCAGTGTATTTTAATTGTTTTACTTGAGTAAAAGGCACTTAGGTAGTTTTACTGTTTCGTTTAACTCAAAACATACAGAAAACTTCGCCACAGATTTCTTTGGTAAACAATCATTATGAAAGGAGAAATCCGCAGATTATCCTCTTACCCCAAAACTGCCTATTCAGACCAAAAAAAGTTTTTTACTTTCAATTTATAATTGTTTTACTTGAGTTAAAGGCACTTAGGTAAAGTAGTAATTTTTAACTTTTTTTTTTGCAGCCTGAATTTTAAAAAAATCAACATATTTCATCTGCAGGTTATTGGATGGTTTCTGACGCTTAACAGGTTATTGGATAGTTTCTTAACGCTTAAACCTTATCATTCTTGTCAAACTTAGCGAACTGCATACCTCATTAACAAATATCTATAAAAATGTATACTTTTTTGAAATTTTATTTATATAACCAACAACATAAATAATATTTTTAAGGAATAAGGCAATAAGCCTATTTAAAGCAAAAGCAAATTACAAAAAGAAGAAATGTTATTTTCCTATTATACAAGTTTATTATATATATCTTTTATTTAAAATAGAAAAATTGTTATATATATATATACATATATATATATATATATATATATATATATATATATATATATATATATATATATATATATATATATATATATATATATATATATATTACATTTGTAATATTATAAACCGTTACTGTATAAATTATTCTTCACTACACAATGTTAACAAAAACAATACAATCACGAATCTTCCGTGCTTTCATTTAATTGATTATGTTCCAACATTTCTTTATTTATAATCTTTTTTAAGTTAAAAGCTTCGATAAAATTACCATAAAAAAGTTCAGCATAAAAAAGAGGTAAGATAAGTACTTCAGTATCATCGTAATAATTTTGCATTAGGCAACCTAACTTTGATAACTTGTCATCGAGCGAACTATGTGATTCTATAAAAAAAATTACATTTATAAGCATAAAAAACATATAAACAACTTGTAATAACAAGTTGTTTATATGTTTTAAAAAAAAAATTATTAAATTTAAGAAAATTTATGCCAACATTTTGTTATAGTCATTTTAGGTTACGTTTTTTTGACAACATTTAAAAAGCTGTTTTAAACGCAATTATGATAGAAACTCATAACTTTGCAACAGCAAGGTCTCAATTAGCTCATAGAAACTAAGTACTTCTATGAGGTCATAGTTGCTAACTACATCATTTTTATATCTAGTTCAGAAAAACGCAATTTCTAACTTCTCATGGAAGCTGCAACTTCTAACTTCTCATGAGAGCTATCTACTTTTATTGTTGAATAAGTATATATAAACAGGAAAAAAAATTGACAAAAAGATTTGTTATTCACGATTTAATCCGCCCCCCCCCCCCCCCAATTATTCTTTTAAAGTGCATTACTAGAGTATTTTTTGACACTGACACTGAGAAGATTCAAGAATTTTAATTAAAGAAGATCAATTTATTCAAAAGATTCATTCATATCAATTTGCAGAAGCATTATTACCTTCTGTCTGTTTATCTATGTGAATGAATGAATAAAACATTTATATATATTAAATATATTCAAAAACCATTTTTTTTTAATATATTAAACATACTTTTTATTTATATATATTAAATATATTCATTTTTTTTTTTTTTATATATTCATTTTTTTTAAATATATTAAACATACTTTTTATTTATATACATTAAATATATTCAAAAAGCAATTTTTTTTTAATATATTAAACATACTTTTTAACAATTTTTTTAATTTAATTTTTTTATTAATTTTTACGGGTAAAACAATTTTAAACACAAATAAAAGACATTATTTAATTATTTAAGATAACATTAGAAGTATAAAAATCAGGCATGAACAGCATAGCTGCATAATTTATTAAAGGCTAAAACTTTGCAATTTACCTTCGTTAAGCATGCTAGAATTCGTTGAATCAGATTGTACGTCCAAATTAAACTTAACAGATTTGAGATTTTCATTGCAAATTTTGGTTTCAGAGTTAAATGATTTTTTATTTGCGAGTCCCAGCAAGCCTATAAAATATACGAATACAAAAATACAATTCAACTCTGTGTTAAACAAAAACATTATTTGTATTTAAGAAAAAAATTATTTCGAAAAAATTTATATAGAAGCATTTACAAGTTATTAACTTAATGGAATAATAATTTAGGAAGAAACAAAAAATGTAACCCTTAAGTCTTGACTCAAAAAAACTTAGTATATTGTATTCATCTTTTTGCAAAGTAGCTTTTGAGCGCACAGTTAAAAAACCATTGTTTAATATTGATATAAATAAGCTCATCATAATCCAATTCATCCAAATGTTAAAGGTAAATAGAAAAACTGGACCAATATAACCACACGAGTTCTGTATCTGGTTAAAATCAAGCTTCCCTAAAACCAATGACATAAGGGAAACAATTGTTTCAAAATAGCTTTCATATCCTTCCAACACAGCACCTTTAAAAATAATAACCTTTTGCATATATATATATATATATATATATATATATATATATATATTAATATATATATATATATATATATATATATATATATATATATATATATATATATATATATATATATATATATATATATATATATATATATATATATATACATACATACATACATATATACATAAACATGTTTATAAGAAAGATATGAATCTAGCTAGTAACTTAACATATTAAAAAACATTACCGAACGCTATATTAGAAAAGCAAACCATTGCAGACATAATAATAAACAAAGCAAAAGCTAAAGTGATTAAATAGTGACTTGATGCTTTTAATGTAGCTGACATCATTGAAATACGAGGATTAAAATTGAGTATTTTCATAAACTTTATATTAACAATAAAAACTATTAAAGAGACAATGTAAGTAAACATCAAATCCCAATAAGAAGCAAATTGAAAATTTATAAACTTTTGAGGTTCTTTTGCTGGAAGTCGATTAAGTAAATCTTTTGCTAGTTTACCTAAAAATAAACTTATTTATAAATAGTTAAAAATTTAATAATAAATTAAGAAATAATTTTTGGATGAAGAATATTTTAATTCATAATACCTATAATTTTAATTCATAATACATACTTTTACCACTATGAATTTATTTTTGAAATATAAAAATGCAAAAATAACTTAATAGTTAAAAAAAGGAGGAGTAAAAACAATTATTGTTTTTTATAAGAAAGAACCAGACATGAATTACAATATAGCACTATTATTTTTTAAAAAAAGATGTTATTATAGTTGTGTGCAAGGTAGACACCTTCTTATAACTCTTTCTGGAGTGTTTAACTTATGGGCATTGACATCAGTATCTTGGGGAAAAGTCTATTTAGATCAAGATCTGTTTCATCAATTCAATCGACTCTTTCACCATTTTCCACATTAGCAATAAGAACCATTATTTCTTGCTGTCGACATGCAATGGTTCTCTGAGCCTTAATTCTTACAGATGAAATGGTTGATTCCTGGATGTGTGTTTGATGCAAAGTACAGGTAACATTTCTTGCAGATTCTACCACCAATCATAAATTGCATTGATGAACAGTACAAATCATATGGAGTTGACCAAAATGGATTCGAAAAGCGGAAAAGGGTGTTGACAACTTTTAAACTTTGTGCTGCAAACAGAGATTTTTTCTGAAACTTTAAGACCTTTGCTTGTTTGAACAACTAGCAATGGAGAAGAAAGAAATTTGCCTATTATTACACTAAAATAGGAACTTCTTGGTTTCAAACAGCACTGTCATTACATTTTACAATCTACGTAAGATATTGGCTCATTCGTATGTGACTATCATACCATTTCTGATCCTTTAACAAGAGGAGTTGTTCTTGTAACTCAGACCCTGTGGACTCAATGTAGTCTGCCACTGTTGTAAAATTATCGACAACCAAGCCTGACCAAATTTCAGCAAGAATGGTTCCTAAAAACTTAAAATTTGTCTTCTCTAAAGCGATTGTAACACCTCTCTCGTTCAGATGGCTACCATAGTGGTCATGTGGTAATATCAATCCAGCAAGTTCCTTACTAAGTGGTGCCATTTTTCTTTCAAGTCTATTAAATGCACTTTTTCCAGGAGCGTTTGTAGCAAGAAATAAAGCATCAAAATCATGCTGGATAAAGTGGTGTATTACAACATTTATTACATTTTGGTATCTTGGGTTCTCATCAGGACCACCATTAACTGTCAAAACTAAAATTGGTTTAACCAATCAATCAATACCACTTCTGGTATGTCAAACTCTTTAAGTGGTAGCAAACTTTAAAAGTCAAGTTCATGGCTAAATGCTGTTGACTTCGAGTGTTTTTCTGATCTGATTGCTATATAGGTTGGTCCAGAAAATCCTACTGCTTTTCGGTTTCCAAGAACATTTGGCTGAATTAAAATTCAAGCATACACTGATGGAATTAATTTGTGCTCTGCAGCCACCACCCAATCATGGTCAGGTAAGCTGACTCTGTACTTGACGTGCATCAGTAATGGACTTTGCTTTTGGCAGCAGTTAACCAGCAGTTAATTGGAACACAAACTTTGTCATCTTGACTCAAAAAACACACTTTATTCATTCCTAAGATGGAAGCTAACTCTTCCAAGTGCCTTATTGTAGCAGTACAAAATAAACTGCTGATATGTTTAGCGCGCTGATATGCTTAGCGTGCTGATCATTCTGTGCTCTAATTAATTTTACTGGTACCGTTGATACATAACACTGGCCTTCAAGAGATGAACTGCGCTTTGCTAAGAAACAAAGATAAAACCCACATCTACTGATTGTCAAATGGGGCAATTCTTGATGTATCTGAGCAGACAGTACTAGGTTCAGGTTCTAATTTATCAGTAACAATATCGGTACCATCTTTATCAAACTGCAAACTTGAAATCGGAAAATTTTTGTTATGCACATTTATGGTTTAGGGCTTATTAGTAGTTATAGTTTGTTTTGCCCAAACTGTTAGCAGTGTTCCTTTTTTGCTTGCGGATATAGTGTTTAGTTCTTGCAACCAATGATCCGCTTTGGTTTGGAAATTTTTATCAACTTATATTTCAATTCACTTCTGAATCAGTTCTTCTTGACAAACTTTTCTGTTCTTTGTAGGGTATGCTGAATCGTAGGTGTCAAAAAGATGCTGATTTGTTTTATTTTTATCCATAACGTGCAAGTTAATTCTATGAAAAGAGTTTTTCGGAGTTTACAAACAAGATGCGCCCAAAAAATTATTTGGGAAAAAAAATTTCAAAATGTGGTTGAGAAATATTGAATACTTACGTTTAAACAGCTACTTATAAATGAATGACATATTCAACTTGTTATGTTTTTTTGTTTTATGATAAAATGTGAATTTTTAAAATGTTAATTATTGTCACTACTTAATGCTTGAGTGCGTTACATCTAACAAAAGAACTCTGCATTATTTTGAATTCTATTTGTTTAGAACTTTGGTTTAAATAAATATATACTTTGATTTAAATATATATATATATATATATATATATATATATATATATATATATATATATATATATATATATATATATATATATATATATATATATATATATATATATATATATATATATTAGGGTGGGTCATAAATTTTTTTTTAGAGTTGACAACCTGGCTATGGTCTAGAAAGTTGTTTTTTTATGTACTAATTTAGAAAAGTATTTATATTTATGGATTGAACAATGTCTTCCACCCGCAACTATAATTACAAAAATTAGCAGGCCCTATTTTTTTTAATATTTTCTCTGTCTTCCACCCTATTGCGGGTGGAAGACAGAGAAAATATTCTCTTATCATTCTTTTTTTTTTCTTTTTCTGAAAAAGCTGTATGCTATAAGTGTAAGCAATTGCTGATCTACATACTATGCATATATATATATATATATATATATATATATATATATATATATATATATATATATATATATATATATATATATATATATATATATATATATATAATAATGGAAAGTGACAAGTCTAAACAAATTATTGCTGCACGTTTTAAGATGTTCAAGATAACTGTTTGTGATATCATTCAATGCATTAAGTTAACAAATGGCATCAATCCTGAAAAATCCTGTGGAAGAGTACTGAGCCAGCCAAAAACACTTATTTGATGTAGAAGCACTCCTTTCCGGCAGCAGGCTATAAGATAGTCAATGTATGTACTGAAGCCCTTGGCAGTTGGCTATTTCAGTATGACCAGTCGTACAATTATTACTCGTAATTTCGAGAACTTTTATCTGTTGAAACTAAATTATGCATAATTTTAAAGCATGTAACTAAATCATATTATATATCTTAAATGAAAAAAATCTAAACCAAGCGGCTATGATAGCTTGAGCTATTTAATAAAATTTGGCTTTATATTATGCAATGAGCAATGTAAAATGAAATCATCAGCAAAAGGTTTTATTGTTTAACTACAGATGATGTCACATATAGTAAAAAAAAAGTTGGTCCTAGCTCACAACCCTGTGAAACACAACAATTTAAATCGGATTGGATTAAGAGCTATCAGTTTTCTTGTCTTGTTGATATCTGCTATGCAGAAAAGCAGAGATCCACTTCAAAAGGTTTCACATATATTGTATGATGAAAATTTATTTAATAATTTTGAAGGAGATATGGAATCAAATGCTTTTCTAAACTAAATATATAGCATCTGTTATCAGATAATTGTCAAGTCTTAGACTTCAATTGTAAGTAGATTCTAAAAGATAAGTGTACATTGAACTGTTTGTTCAAGAAACCATGATGAATAGGTGAAGAAAACACAATGAATAGATGAAGAAACCGAGGTGAATAAGTGAAGAAAGCATCGTGATTAGGTGAAGAAACCATGGTGAACTGTTAAAGAAAACATGGTGAATAGATGAAGAAACCATGCTGAATAGGTGAAGAAACCATGGTGAATAAGTGAAGAAACCATGTTGAATAGGTAAAGAAACCATGGTGAATAAGTGTATGGTGAGTAGGAGATATTATGTTATAGTAATTATGATATTTAATAATATAATTACTTCTAATATAACAATATGAGAGATAATTCTTTCAACAAGATTTGGAAACAAGTACAAGTCAGAAAGATGGATCTATAATTGTTAGAATCCAATGTAGCTCCATTTCAATATAAATACATATAAACAACATTTATAAATATTATAACTATAAACAACATTTATAAAATATTCAGACAAGGCTGCTTTTTTAAACGCTCGTAACAGTAAATCTAATTCTTTTATTACACCAGTTTATTAAATTGAAAAGTCTTTTAATCTTATGCCCTTTTAGATTTTTTTTCAACTGTATAATTTATTGAGCTTTTGAACAATATAAAGAATTTTTTATAATTTTAAATTACAAATTTTTACTAGTATAACCATGATATGAATTTTTAAAAGTATTAGTAACTTTTTTATTAAAAAACTTCTATACCATCATATTTTGATAACTAGATAAATAAGCACCAACAAGAGACAAACAGTAATTGTAACATAATAACGCCAGGTCAGGTTATCCTGCTACTGGTAACATGTAATCCAAAAAAACCTGATTCATGTCCTGCTGCCTTGTAGGATACACCTTTTTAGGAAAAGACTAGGAGAAGCTAACTCCAACTTGAAACACCCCCTGTCTTAGGGCTCTTAGCTGATTAAAGACTAGAGATGGTGTCTTGATGAAAATACTCATCTTTAGCAGATGTTAAACGCATTTGGCTTCTGTCTTGTACAAGGTCTCCTAGAAAAAGATTTAAGGGGTAAACAGATTCTATCTATTGACCAGCTTTGCACCCCTTCTTCATCTATTAGGTTAGCACAGATGTATTTATAATATATTGTTTCTAGTTTAGGATTTCGATTGCTAGAACTTCTTGACTCAATGCAAGATTTTTGCTTGTATCTTTTTAACTAGGCAACTCATTCTATAATCCCCTAATGATTCTGAGGCCAGCTGGTTTTTTGAACTCTGTAGTCAGGTTTCCTGAACTCTGTAGTAGCTTTTAGAGAGGCTGATTCCATCAACAACTGAAAAACATGAAAAATATCAGAGTACCAACAGTGCCATGTTGCACATGAATGGTGTTCTTGTTTGTACTTCTATTGTGCATTGTCAAAGCCATATTTGGAGCTCTTTTTTTTTTACTTCTTCTTAATAGTAATGAGGCAATTGCTTGGGCTATTAAACAGTGTACTGAGTACTATCTGTGCTTTGAGTCAAGTACTTTAACAAATTTGAAAATGACTAAAGTACCAAAAAATATACAACACAAAAAATCATCATCACCATCAAGTTCTCTAAACCTATCATTCAATAATATTTGTGGTCTTCAAAGTAATTTTTCTTCTGTTGAGTCTTAACTCTTGCAAAGTTTACCAAACCTACTTGCTCTTTGTGAGACTAATTTAAGTTTAGCTGTCTCATCTTGTAATCTTAGATTTGATAGTTATCTTCTTTGAATTCGTAAAGACTCCAATAGTCACATGCTTGGCCTGGGCATTTACATTCGTGAGAATTGACCTATTTGTTAGGAAGTTAGGTTTGAATCTACCAACTATTTTTTTATGTGCTTTAATTTAGCACCACTTCACTCTATCGCCTTTCTGTTTGTTCTATATTGCTCTCCTTCATTTTAAGATTGCACTCTTTTCAATGTTATTTTTAATCAAATTGACCAAGCTTTCTCTCTTTATCCATCAGCCGATATCGTTGTTATTGGTGACTTTAATTACAACAGACAACCCGAATCATTTACCTTTTCTACTCAACTTATGTCTTGTTTTTGATCATAGTCAGTGCTCAGTTTCTCCACATTCACTCTATGGTGCTTTTGATCATGATTTGATCTCTCTTAAACTACCTAAATCTGAATCTTCTTAATCATCTGAATCCCCCTATCATCATACCTCTTACAACTACCATAAAACTGATTGGGACTCTTTCCGTGATTTTCTTCGCAATGGCTCTTGGGAAAAAATCTTTCATCTTCCTGCTGATAAATGTGCTTCTTACATAACTTCTTGGATTCAGGCTGGAATGGAATCTTTTATTCCCTCTTGATGATTCCAAGTCAAGCCTCATTCTTCTTGATTTATGTCACATTGTGCTGCTATAATTTCCAATCGAAACCATTACTTCCATATCTATCAGCAAAACAATTCTCCAGAAAACAGACATATGTTTACTATTGATAGAAACTATTGTAAAAACGTTTTGTCTAACGTCAAAGCCCGCTATTCTCAGGTCATAAAATCTTGTATTTCATCTCAAAAATCAGGCTCTCAACTTCTGGAGTACTTTAACAGTATCAATAATAAAAACAAACCTGTTATTCCACCTCTCTTGTACGGTTCAGACTTTGTAACCTCACCTAAAGACAAAGCTGAATTGTTTGCTAAAAACTTTTCATCAATATCATCTCTTGATTTCACTAATTGCGTTCTACCTGATATAGCTGACAACCAGGTTGATCTATTGCTTGACATTTATATTACTCCAGCTTCTGTATCTAGAATGATTTCCTGCTTAGAACCTTCTACAGCTTATGGTCCGGACAACATACCTGTTGTAGTCTTGCAGAAGTTTTCTCCAGAGCTGTTGTCTATACTTTCAAAACTATTTAACAAGTGCTTATCTGAGTCTTGTTTTCCAGCATGCTAAAAAGTAGCATCTGTTATCCCTATTTTTAAAACTTCTGGAGAGCAATCTGACTCGTCGAACTATCGTCGCATTAGTCTTCTCCTTATCATAAGCAAGACTTTTGAGTCTTTAATTAACAAACACTTAATCTCTCATCTGGAATCTAATAACTTACTTTCTGATAATCAATATGGATTTCGATCTCGTTCTACACCAATTTGCTAACAGTAATAACTGATAGGTTTTATCGTACATTAGATAGAGGTGGATAAAATTAATATAAAAATTGCACTTGATAAATCTTGAAACATTTCAAGAACTATCTCATGCAAATTTTGCTTACTTCATTGTAATAATTTCAATAAAAAAGACTAACTAATTTCAATATTGTATAATTTTCACAAATAATTCTAAATAACTTAATAATATCCAGCTAGCACAAACATGTATTTTTAGAATTTAAAATGTTAACACCATTTAAACGTCTTCAAATTCAAATTCAGATAAGACATCAAATAGCAGTTATCTTTGAGACGATGAACATGAACTCATATTTGTTAACATTTGTTTAATAATTGCTAATAACTGTTTTATATTTATATGAATTTAGACAACTGGAAGGTGCATTTTTAGATGCTAAAAAGACGTTTAAAAAGCGTGTTTGTGCCAGCTGGTTAGCTGCTAAATTAATGACTCCATTAATTTAGCAGCTAACCAACTGGTAAAACCCTAAAGAAAATAAGTACATCAGCTGATAAAACTTCAAATTAATGACTCCATCAACTGATAAAACTTTTTTAAAACAAGAATTGCTTTTTTTTTTGAGAGCATTCAAATTTACAATGCTAACTTTTTATAAAAAAGAGTTTGCTTACTTCATTGTAATAATTTCAAAAAATTTTATGAAAAAACAACTTTAGAAAAAACAACTTTTACTAAATCAAGTTACTTCTAATTTTTTTCTTCTTTTGTTATCATGTTCTTACATTGACATTTTATTTTTAATTCTTATGTTTTGTTTAAAGTTCTCACAACATCAATGTTATCATATTTTTACATTGATATTTTATTTCTAATTCTTATGTTGTGTTTACAATTCTCATAACAAGATTTACTGGAGCTTTTATCAAAAACATTGTTTATATAAACTTTGACCAATGATTATTTTGTCAAAATATTTTTAAAAATGTAAATATATGTGTATATATGTATTGTAATAGTATTATTTTTTTATGTTATTAACAGCAATACTATATGTTATTTTGTTGAGTATATAAACTAAAAAAAAAAATCTTGTGTATTTATTTTCAGTTGTGTGTATTTATATACACATACATGATAAAGGAATTTATTAAGTAAAACAAACCTCTGTAAAAATAGAAAACAACTGCAAGTACACAAAGTAAAACAAGCATGACTTCAGTTAAGTTCCAAAAACCTTTGAAGTATTTCCAACCTGTTCGACGCAACATTCTACATTCTCTTATTGTAAAAATAAACATCATAACAAAAAATATGAGCTGGCAACCAATAATAACAGCGTCATTTTTTGGTGGATATAGTTTAAAAGTACTAACAGAATAACTAGGTATTAACCCTCCAGATGCAGGGAACTCAAATACAAAAGTAACCATGTTAAAATTATTAGTTGCAGCATTAAATAAAGCAAACTCGATGAATATGGCTCTTGTTTGGCGATCAATCCACATATGTTTTTTTACATCTTCAATAACTTTCTTATTATTCCATTTTGGAAAAATTTCAATAACATAACCTCCTCCAAAATAGGTTTGTAATTTGGCCCCAAATGGATATCCATCTAGTTCATTTGAAGTTTGATATCTCCAAGGTTTTGTAGATTGATTGATAGGAATACTGTACTTTTTGGGTAATGACCAGCCAAAGTCAAAATCGTTTGTTTCCTCTAATGATGATTTAAGCTCAGATAAACAGTCCAGAGTAAAAAGATCCGCAACTAAACTTGGTTTTAAGCAGGAATCTAAGACATAATTACAAAAACCTTTCAATATAAAAAGTTTAATAATAAAAAAAAAATTCCAAAAAACAAAATAGCAGATAAATAATTGTTTATGAATTTTTTGGTGAAAAAAGCTTTCCATAAACAGCAATAAATCTATGTATATTTTTTTATAAAAAAAGCTATTCATAAACAGCAATACATATATATGAATACTTTTTCTAAAAACAAGTATATATATATATATATATATATATATATATATATATATATATATATATATATATATATATATATATATATATATATATATATATATATATATATATATATATATATATATATATATATATATATATATATATATATATATATATATATATATACTAAAGACTTTTTCTAAAAACAAGTATATATATATATATATATATATATATATATATATATATATATATATATATATATATATATATATATATATATATATATATATATATATATATATATATATATATATATATATGTATACTAAAAACTTTTTCTAAAGATAAATAACAAGTAACAGTACTATTATTTTATAACTTTTTGTATTTTAAGTGATTTAAATTTGAACCTTTTTGATAAATTTTTTTTTAACAAGAAACAAACTATAATAAAGATTATTAAATTTAAATGGTTCAAAATTGACAAAATTCATTCCTTTTCATTTGAATGATTCAATGTTGAGTATAAAGTTCGTCCTTTTTCATTTGAACGATTCAATATTGAGTATAAAGTTTGTTCCTTTTCATTAGAATGATTCAAAATTGTGTATAAAATTTTAATTTAAGACAAAAATACTCTTCTCTACCAAGGTTTCTTTTGCGAGAGTTAAACACTATTCAAAGAAAGTAAATGGTCAAAAAATTTCAGCTTGCACATTTTGTTGTGAGAAAAATTCTATCATTTCAAATGAATAATCAATTTGGTGAATTTAAACAAAACAATCATGAAGTGATAAAATCTGATGAAATCATTTCTAAAACCAAATATAAAATTGGGTAATAAAAACCCAAAATAATTTATCAAAATTTTAACTTAATTTTCAAAATGAACTGAAAAAGGATGAGACTTAATTGAATGGCGAGTAATTTTTAATTTTACACATTTTCACTTCCAACAAAGCTGCAACCACTAAATAGATTTAAAAGTTACTGGAAGAGAAAAGATGAAGATTGTAGAGCAAAATAATGACTGACAGATAACTTAAAAGATTGGAAATTGTATGAATCAGGAAAGCAAGATGAAAGAAGAAAATTCCAAAGAACTGATGTTCGAGGAAAAAACTAGAGGAATAAAAGCAATTTATGTCTTTGGAGCAATTAGAAACAGCCACAAAAAAAGGATGAGATTTAATTAAATGACAGGTAAAACAAGAATGAATTTTAGTAGATGGCACAAGAGATGCTAGCTCTTTAGAGCAATGCGAATTATAGTATTTGTAGAAAAGAAAAAGAGAAACAACATTACAACGATATGATAATGGTTGAAGGTTGGCTACAAGAGCAGGTCCAACTATATTTAAAATGCATTTTTTCACTTTGTCTAAAAGGGAAAGGGCATCATTAAAAGATCCGCCCCAGATATGGTAACAGTATTCCATACAAGGACAGATTGAGATTTATAGAGATAGAGAATAGAATCCGGAGTAAGAAAGTGTCGAGCTCAATAAAAAGATCCTAGAAGATGAAGGGTAGATGACTCATCGAGTACATTACTGTACATAAAAATAGGAAGGTCTAAATTATTGCAATAACGATTGGCTGAAAAAAATTGAGATTTATCTGAATTAAAGTCCACAAGCCATGCTGTAGAAGAAGTGAGATCCTTTTGAAGCTCAATTGGCCCCTCCAAGCAATCAGAGAGTGTGGGCTTCATATCATGACAAGAAAAAATGGTAGTATCATCAGTGAACAATGCCAGCTTAGATGTGAGAATATCTGGAGGATTGTTAACGTAAATTAAAAAAAGTATAGGGCAAAAGATTGAACCTTGAAGAACCCCTGAGGTTACAGAATAAGAAGAAGAGTGCTGTCCATTGAGGACAACTTTTATACTACGATTGGAAAGGAAGGATTCAATAATATTAAAGATGCTTCCAGATACACTGTAAAAAGAAAGCTTATGGAGAAGACCAGCATGCCAAACTTTATCAAACACTTTAGAAATGTCAAGAGCAATGCCCTTAACCTCTCCACTTTTATCTAATGCACGGTAAAACCAATAGATTATTACTGTTAGCAAATAAGCCATAGAACGAGAAGATCGAAATCCAAATTGATGATCAGAAAGTAAGTTATTAGATTCAAGATGAGAGATTAAGTGTTTGTTAATTAAAGATTTAAAAACCTTGATTATGATAGTAAGAATGGGACGGTAGTTAGACAAATCAGATCACTCTTCAGAATTTTTAAAAATAGGGATAACAGATGCTGCTTTCCAGCAGGCTGGAAAACAAGACTCTGATAAGCACTTGTTGAGTAGTTTTGAAAGTATAGACAACAGCACCGGAGAACACTTCTGCAAGACTACAACAGGTATGTTGTCCAGGCCACAAGCTGTAGAAGAGTCTAAGCAGGAAATTACTTTAGATACAGAAGCTGGAGTGATACAAATGTCAAGCAATGGATCAACCTGTTTGACAGCTATATCAGGTAGAACGCAACTAGTGGAATCAAGAGATAATATTGATGAAAAGTTCTTAGCAAACAATTCAGCTTTGTCTTTAGGTGAGGTGACAAAGTCTGAACCATACAAGAGAGGTGGAATTACAGATTTGCCATAATTGTTAATACTATCAAAGATTCTCCAGTAATAATGAGAGCCTAATTTTTGTAATGAAATATAAGATTCATGACCTGAGATTAGTGGGCTTAGGCGTAAGACAAAACATTTTTACAATGGTTTCTAGCAATAATAAACAGACGTCTGTTTTCTGGAGAATTGTTTTGCTGATAGATAGAAAGTAACAGTTTCAATTGGGAATTGCAGCAGCATAATGTGAGGAAAACCATGGAGAAGAGTGAGGCTTGACCTGGAATCGTTGAGAAGAAATAAATGATTCTATACCAGCCTGAATCCGTAGTTATGTAAGAAGCACATTTGTCAACAAGATGAAAGATCCCTCGGGCCATCATGAAGAGTATCAGGGAAAGAGTCCCAGTCAGCTTTAAGGTAGTTGTAAGAGGTACGATGATAGGGGGATTCAGATGATGAAGAAGAATGAGATAATAGTTTTAGAGAGATCAAACTGTGATCAGAAGCACTTAAGGTGAATCTGGAGAAACTGAACACTGACTAGGATCAGAAACAAGACATAAGTCCAGTAGGGAAGGTAAATGATTCAGGTTGTCTGGAAAGCGAGTTGGAATGTTGATTGTTTTAGTTAAAGATTGGGAAAGGCAAAAGTTGCGGGTTTTAATGCCTGCAGAGTCACTGACACTAGAGCCAAGCCATTGCGTGTGAATAGCATTAAAGCCACGGACAACAACAATATTGGCTGATGGATAAAGAGAGAAAGTCAGTTTGATCAAAAATAATATCGAAAAGAGTGAAATCTTAAGATAAAGGAGAGCGATTTAGAACAAAGAAAAAGGCATTAGAGTGAAGTGGTGCTAAACGAAAGCACATAAAAGAACAGTTTATGGATTCAAATCTAATTGCCCAATAAATGGGTGAATTCTTAGGAATGTAAATGCCCAGGCCAAACATATGCCTATTGGAGTTTTTACGAATTAAAGGGAGATAACCATCAATACTAAGATCACAAGATGAGACAGCTAAACTTAAATTAGACTCACAAAAAGCAAGCAGGTCCGGTGAACTTTGCAAGAGTTAAGACTTAACAGAAGAAAAATTACTTTGAAGACCACAAATATTATTGAATGATAGGTTTAGAGAACTTGGTGGTGACAATGATTTTTTGTGTTGTATATTTTTTGGTACTTTGGTCATTTTCAAATTTGTTAAAGTACTTGACTCAAAGCACAGATAGTACTCAGTACACTGTTTAATAGCCCAAGCAATTGCCTCATTACTATTAAGAAGCCGTAACAAAGAGCTCCAAATATGGCTTTGACAATACACAATAGAAGTACGAACAAAGACACCATCCTTGGTAACATGGCACTGTTAATACTTTAATATTTTTCAGCTGTTGATGGAATCAGTCAATCAGAGACACAAGCAAAACCCATGCAACGAGTCAAGAAGATCGAGCATTCAACATCCTAAACTGGAAGCAATGTATTATAAATACATCTGCGCCAGCCTAATAGATGAAGAAGCTGTTATGAGGCTGGTCAACAGATACAATCTGTTTGTCCCTTAAGTCTTTGTCTAGGAAGCCTTCTACAAGACAGTAACTGGATGCATTAAATTCTGTCCAAGATGATTGTTTTTATCAAGACACCATCTTTAGTCTTTACGCAACCAAGAGCTCCAAAGCAGGGGGTGTTTAATGTCGGAGTTGGCATCTCCTAGCCTGCCTAAAAAGGCGTATCCTACAAGGCAGCAGAACATGATGCAGGTTGTACTGGATTACATGTTACCAGTTGCAGGATAACCTGACCTGACACAAGAATGAATTTTAATAGTTGGCACAAAAGAAGCTAGCTCTTTAGAGCAGTGCCCATTATAGTATTTGTAGAAAAGAGCAATCTGATAATGGGTGGAATTTAGCTGCAAGAGCAGGTCCAATATAGGAAGATCTAAATTATTGCAATAACAATTGGCTGAAAAAATTTAGGATTTATCTGAATTAAAGTTCAGTTAAAGCAGAAGTGAGATCTTTTTCAAGCTCAAATATCCCCTCCAAGCAATCAGGGTTTATGGGCTATTTTATTATGGGCTTCTTAACAAGACAAGAATAAATGGTAGTATCATTAGCGAACAATGCCACCTTAGATGTAAGAATATCTATAAGATTGTTAATGTAAGATAAAAAGAGTATAGGGCCAAGGATAGAACCTTGTGGAACCCCC